AGGAAGGAAAGGAAGGAAGGAAGGAAGGAAGGAAGGAAGGAAGGAAGGAAGGAAGGAAGGAAGGAAGGCAAGTAGGCTCAGTGACAGTGCCCAGGCCCTGAGTTCAAGGCATAGGTCTGACACCAAAAAGAAAAAAAACAGAAAGAAAAAAACACCTTTCAATCTTTTTCCTCAAATTCAGTGAGGCCTCTGACCCTCCTTCCTTATCTATTCTTTACACTGCTATCAGATCTGTATCACCAGGCAGTAAGCTCAGATTATGGTTGGGGCTCATTTCAAATATTTCTCCTTTCTTCAGATATCATCATCATGCATTTCCTGTTCTCCAGTATCTAAAAATAGTTGCTTTAGTCAGGTGCCATTAGCTCATGCCTGCAATCCTAGCTACTGTAGAGGCTGAGATCTGAGGATCAAGATTCAAAGAATCCAAAGGGACTCATTTCCAATTAAACTGCAAAAAAGCAGAAATGGAGGTGTGGTTCAAGTGATAGAATACCAACCTGAGTTCAAGTTCCTCTAATACCGAGTTCCTGAGTTCAAGTTCCCTCCAGTACTAGCACAAAAGACAAACATATAAATGAATACATTACTGAATGAATGAATGAATAAGCAAATGTCCGAAAATTAGATTAGGGTACCAGACAGGCACCAATGGCTATATCTATAATCCTTGCTACTTAAGATACTAAGATCTGAGTATAAAGGTTTGAAGTCATCTTGGGAAGTAAAGTCTGGGGATTATATGGACTGGAGGTGTGGTTCAAGGTGTGGTTCAAGAATACTGAGAGCATGAAGCCCTGCGTTCAAGTCTTGATACTGCCACCAAAAAATTGCTTATGGCTGTGCTTGAGCAACTGTATAATATAAATATGCTAAGCATGTCAGTGAGGTACACACTTTAACAGGTAAATATTATTGTTTATAAAAACCAAATCAGAGATATTCTCTGGAATAAGAGGCTCTGGATTGCTTTCCTTTACCCATTAAGGCTTACACACAATTTGTTTGACATGAATGGTTTCTTGATTGGAAAAAATGAAAAACACTAGTAAGCAAAATTAACTCACAGGTTCTATGCAAAGAGCTTATGTCCTGAAGTAAGAAAGGTATCATTCTTTTAAAGTACAGTTTTTTTAGCCCTTTCTGTCAGCTAAACAGTCATGTTTGAACTTTGTTTGGAACTGGAGTCAATATATTATAATTTCACTAAATGATACATTTGATCAAAATTTCTGGTTGAGGAGGTGCAGAATGTGAACACAGCTAATTAGGTGGTTGAGCATTTCGCTTGCTTTCACCAAAATACCAAGGTGCCTCTGCCAACTATTTGGGGCAAACAAGCCATGGCAAACCAGGTCATAATTCAAATAACCAAACACTATGTCTTACCAGAACTACTCCAAGGCATCCTGCCCATGCTCTGTAAGACAAGGGAGGTTTGTTCAGTAGTTAGAAGTACTGCTGCCCTTGACTCTTGGGTGGACACCATGAGCCTGGTTTTACCTACCTCCCAACTTCTGTTCTCTTTATTATGGGTGGCTGCTTACAACCCTGGAACAGGGATGTAGCTTTTCATTCAATCTGAAACCATCTGTATGATGGGGTGACCTTGGCATCTATAGTTAAGTGATCTATAGTTACCAGGGCCTGTTTCCCAGTATATACAATGAAGTGCTTAATCCACAAGACTTCTAACTCCCTTCCAGGCATGACACTGAATGAGATAACTAAAACAGAATATTCTGCAAATAAGACAGAATACTCACCATTATGGTAGCTTTCGTGATGGTGATAGTGGTTAGGGCCTTCTCTGTAATAAAAGCTTTGTGCATTAGTGTTTCCGTTCATTTCATACCCAACTCTGGTGTAACTTGTGAGGAACACTGTGCCTCCAAGTAGTTCAAAAGTTAATACTTTAATGATGGAAGGGGTAACATTGATCAAGATGCATCACACTCATAACCTGACTTAGGAAATTGAAACCTCTTTGTATAACTACTTAATAGAAAAAAGTTAATGTTATTTTCTCAGTATGGGGAAAGCATGTATGTAATATGCCTAATGAGAAAAATATCAATATGAAATGCATCTCTGAATATATAACCTTGGCTGTGCATGATGTCGGGTACATTATTCTGGATTCCCATAGCTGTCAATGTATCATATAGGTATATTTAATAGGGGAGCCAAAATTGTGGGTATTTGTATAAAGAAAAGTTCTCTCCTATGAACAGTTATAACATTTTATTTCATCATTCTTATTTTATTTTCATCATTTTTAGCAGTTTAGAGAACCAAGACCTTGAGACTTGGTTTGCTTATATTCTCTCATATATTCGTGTGCAGATGACATTATTCACCGAGCTTTCCTGCAAGACAAAGAAGGATGGGATAGTTCCAATTTATTGGTAAAAGTGACACCTAGAAAAACATAAGTTAAATAATAGCATAATGGCATTAATAACATTTCTTGAAAAATCTTCTAAGGAGACCTATACAGACTGTATAGGTAGATACATTTTACATATACATAATAGATGGTGCATATGACATATTTAACTCTATATGGAAAGAGCAACACATAAAATTTGAAATCAAGATTTTCATTGAAATATATTTAATGCCTACATGGAAGGACTTTTGCTCTCTTATTACATACTATACATTTTTCAAATAATGTATCATTGTACTATTTTATAGTTTTTAGAATACTGATACATTTGGACATGATGATGTTCAATTCTCTTAGGAAACTTTCAGTGGAGCACTGTCCCCATCTTAAAGGAGTCTAAATTTTGTGAGAATAAGTGACATGTGTAAAGCCGTGTGAGTACTGAATAAAAGGAAATCTGTGCCCTTGGATTCTGAGTCTCAGCTTCTTTCTAAAGAGCACTTACTCACTGGGCTATTAATCTGTTTATTGACTAAACTTATCGTAAGAAACATTAGAGTCAATTACTCCTCATCTTCTAAGGTTATAAAGAACAAAATGTATTCTTCATTGTACATATTAACATCCCATATGAAATAAAGATACTTGTTTGGTTTTTCTCCACACAGAGAGTGCATCATTCCTTTGAACTATTTTATATTATGTCAAAAGTTACCTTTTTAATTCATTTTAGTGCTGGTAGGGTTTGGGAGGAGGAGAATCATTGACCTACTTCCCTCAATTCTGTAGAAATGGAATGATGACCTCAAAAGCCATCTTGAGAGAGAACAAAAGGGGCTTGAGAAAGACTGAACTTTGGAATTAAGCCAGCGGATCTTAACCCCAAAACCACCGCAAACTTCTAGGTTTATATCCTTAGGTACATCATCATGTGAATCTCAGGTTCCTTATCTACTAAATGAGCTAATGAATGTTACCACAAAGGCTTGTTGTCAGAGCTGGGGAGAAAATACTTGGAAATCTGGGCATCTGGTGGACCATGAGCCATTACTTACACATATTAAGTTATCTGGGAGTGAGAAAGAGCACTTCAGCTTCCTGTCTCTCATTTACACTTTCCTTTTATGCTTTGGTTTGGTATTGATTTGGAAAAAGAATGAGAAGTTAATTCCGGTACAGAGCAGAGGACTGGCAAAAAATTTTGCCAATTTTTATCACATGGATTCATGCTTGCTTTGATTCATGTGTGAGTAGAAAAATCAGGGTCCACAAGTCTTTATTCTCTTTATTTTTCAGTTTATCAAACCATATGCATTTTATAATAGTTACACTTACACATTCTGTCAATGTTTTCTCTCAGTTCTTACAAAGCAAAGGAAACAGTAACATTGATTTTCATTGGTTTAGAAACTGTGGGTGAAATGTGAAGGAGAGAAGAAAATTGTGAGAAATCATTTACTTACCACTACCATCTGCCCATCTACCAGCTTTCGCCGTATAGTTATTTTCTTGTCACCCCAGTCCTGAACTTGAACCAGAGTGTCATTATCTAAGGTTACTGTACTCTGAAATACAGACAGAATCAAATCAAATACAGATAGATCTCGTTGTCAAGTTTGCACACTAACATTTTATCAGATATCATTTTCTTTCCCCATGTTGTGTGGGTTCGGTTGGTTTTTGAATGGTATTTACAATCCCATTTACTTAAGGCTGTTAGAGTATTTTAGACTTTGCCAGAAAACCAGGCAGACATCCAGGTACAGAGAACAAAGAAAAGTTTATTGCTGGGAAAGGGGCCGGCAAGATCCCTTCTCACAAGGAAGAAGTGGGAAGTTGCACCAGCTATTATCTAAGGTGACCTGTAAAACCTAGGAAGTTTAAGAGGGGCTAGGAGGGGCTAGAAGGCAGAGACCCTGGTGTGGACATGAAGGCCAGGGGCTTCATCTTGGCAGACTAGGATTTATGGCTGCTGTCCAAATAGTAGATAAGAGGTCCTGCAACTGCCCAGACCTGAAGGTCACTCTAAGGGGCTCTTATTGGCTTATATGGTGGTAGCTGCCCCAGAGAAGTGCCATCCCAAGGTTAAGGGGGGTTGGAGGTTGATTATTTACTGCCTTTACTACATGGGCCTAAGGTTGCCTAGGAAGGGAGCATGCTCAGCTGTGGCGAGGGGAAGGAGCATCATAAGCTATGGGAAGGGAGCTCATTAGCTAACATTGGCTATTTCAATTTTCAAAGCTTTTTCAATAGTCTTGTTGATTATTTTTTCTAGGGGGAAAAAGTTGTAAGTGTTAAAAGCTGGGTGCTGCTGACTCTTGCCTGTAATCCTAGCTCCTCAAGAGGCTGAGATCTGGGAGTGTTTTTATCTCCAATTAACCAGAAAAAAAAGCTAGCAGTAGAGGTTTGGCTCAAGTGGAAGAGCACCAGACTTAAATGGAAAAAGTCAATCAAGTGCACAAGTCCCTAAGTTCAAGCCCCAGTACTGACACACAAAAGTATAAAAGTAACTTGAAGAGTAAGTGAAATTTTCTTATCATTTACTGTATGGGCAAACTATTGTCTTTATACATAAAGATTATCTTTATACAGAAATATAATAGCTTGTCTATATAGTATGTGTGTGACTATATAGTATAGTGTGTGTGTATATATATTCTCTACATATATATATGTAGAGAATTCATTGGAATTCTCTACATGGAAAACTTGAAAAGGGAGAGTTTTGTTTCTGCAAGTACTAAATTATAATAGACAGATATGATCCTCAAAATTTGGCCCAGCAAGCCAACTCTACCCCTGACTACCAGGCATTTTCCCATAAGGATCTTAATGTCGATTGAACTTCTACATCTTCAAGCTTATGGTTTAGCCAGAAGATTATCTAATGAAACCTGACATGTTTGCTACTATGGACTACTTAGAATGATTTGGTTTTGCTTTTGTTTTTGAGATGGAATCTTACTATGCAGCCAAGGCGCTCCTGGAACTCCACAATGTAGTCAAGACTTGGCCTCAAACTCATGATCCTCTTGCCTCAGCCTCAATAGTGCTGGGACTGCAGGTATGTTCCACCATCCCCCCACAAAGAGTGATTTCTGATTAACATCCTTAAAAAAATCAGCTGAGAAGCTGTTGTGAGAATCACCTTAGTTTTATGGCCAGGAGGTGTAGTTTCTTCAAATTCTTCTCCCAGTTTAAAAGAGATTTCAGTGTTTTTAAAGATGCTTCTAGTCTTTATGGTGATTATATCTCCATCAGCACTGATGGTCACAGTGGGTTTTGCCAGGCAGCCTAATTTCCTGCTGGCTTTTCTTATTCCTAAAAATCAGACAAAATAAGAAAAGAGTTCAGTCTCTTGTTGGCTCTAAGAACTCATGTTATTTGTACAAATTTTGGCTGAAAAGGAGCTTTCTGAGGTTTTTTTCCCCCTCTTTTTTGTATTTTTTCTTGTAATAGAATACCATTAACATACATATACCATATTGACTATTTTAAATGTACAGCCTAGTGACATTATGGATGTCATAATATGTATAACCATCGCTATTATATGCAAGATTTTCTAAAACTCAATAACTGTATTATATCTGCTATTGTTCAGTATTATTTTCTTTTCCAATTCTAGGGCTTGAACTCAGGGCCTGGACACTGTCCCTGAGCCTCTTTGTGCTCAAGGCTATCATTCTACCACATGAGAGCCACAGTGTTACTTCTTGTTTTTTCTGAGTAGTTTATGGAGATAAGAGTCTCATGGACTTTTCTGACTGAACTGGCTTTGAACAATGATCCTTAGATCTCAGCCTCCTAAGTATGTAGGATTACAGACATGAGCCACTGAAGAGAAGGCAGAGGGATCATAGGGGCAAAGATTGAGTTGTTGTAGCCACAGGCCAAGGAACACTAGGAGCCAGCAGAAGCTGCGAAACAAGATCTATTTTTTTAATCTTCTAATGATTAAAGCAAATGTTTATAATAATTTTCAAATAACTGATTTTTTTCATTTAAAATTTTCTATTTAAAAATCATTTTCTGTCTAGTGACTAGTGTTTATATAAATCCTTGGTAAACTGTATGAAGGATTATGTCAGCCTAATTAATCAGAACTCAATTTTAGTGTTTATCCTTTCTTTGTGAAAAAATAGGAGATCCAAGATTAATTGCATTTTAGATAGAACAAATTATGTGCTATTAAAACTCTCATACTGATACGATATGTAAATAAATATAACTCACCCAGCTCCTTCATATAATTTTCAAAATTTTCACAAGAAATAGATTTCCATGTTCCTTGGAGCTGGTCCACCATTCTGAAATGAGTTGATCTCAGAGAATAATAGCTTCAGGCAAGTAGTGTAGTTCAAGGTAAAGTTTTGCCTTGGATATACCAGGCCCCGAGTTCCACCTCACCACTTAAAACAAACAAATGAACAAAAATTCATATGGATGTCTGTATTGGTGTTCCATGAAATTGAAGGAAACTTTTTGTGTTGTTGTTAGATTGTGGGGCTTGAACTGTGGGCCTGGGCACTGTCCCTCAGCTTTTTAGCTCAAGGCAAACGCTCTACCACTTGAGCCACAGCACCACTTTCAGTTTTCTGGTGGTTTTATTGGAGATAAGAGGCTCATGGACTACTTTCCTGCCTGGGCTGCCTTTGAACCACAATCCTCAGATCTCAGCCTCCTGAGTAGCTAGGATTACAGGCATGAGCCACCAGCATATGGCTTAGAAGTGAAATTTTTTTTCGGGGGGGGGGGCAGTCATGGGGCCTGAACTCTGGGCCTGGGCGCTGTCGCTCAGCTCTTCAGCTCAAGGCTAGCGCTCTACCACTTGAGCCACAGCGTCACTTCTGGCTTTTTTTCTTTTTGCTTATGTGGTGCTGAGGAATCGAACCCAGGGCCTCAGGGATGCAAGGCAAGTGCTCTACCACTGAGCCACCTTCCCAGCCCCTTAGAAGTGAAACTTTTTTAATGCCGTTGTGGGCAGAAAGAGCAACGGTTGCAGGAGGGGGGGGGCGGGGGATATCATAAAAAAAGAGAACTTGCTCTTTGGATTTTTTTTTCTTTACTATCATCTAGATCATCAAAATTCAGGTCTGTCTTGTATTTACCACAAGTATCTTTTTAAAAAAATAACCAGCTACTTGTTGGCTGTTTTATTATTTTTCCTGATAATTTGAAATAAACATGAGTCTGTGTACATGGCGTTTGAAGTAAAGAATTAACATTAGGGTTCATCTTTGTTACTGATGGTTTTCTAGCTGCCATATCAATCCATTCTGAGATTAATGAGTCTGTGGACTGAGCACTCCCTGACTCCTCCCACCCCTACAGGGACAATAAGGACAGCTGCTCTGAGCATTGTCCATTGAGATTGTTTCCTTATCAATCATGGACTCCTCTCTGACCCTAAGGAGAATAAAGCCACTGTCCGTGTTCAAATCATCCTCTGTACTCAACTGACTTAACCAATAAATCCGTTTAAACTTTTTATTCTTCATTTGGTTACAGAGTGCCCCCATATTATGCTACACATGATCTGGGAAGGTGCTGGTATTCTGTAGTGACCTAGAGTTCTGGCAAGCTGCTCACGTGATTACCTTATCACTTCTAGTCTTGATCAGCTCAATCTCAGATGCAGTGTTGCTAGTCTCATAGAACCCAAGTCATAATGAATAATTTGGAATTCAGGGTGTCCCAGTCAAGAACTCAGCCTCTACTGGGCCCAGTGACACACTTAGCATTCTTTTCAACATATATGTAGCCTCACTTACCTATAGCATCACAGGATTGGCCAATCATAGGGCCCAAGTGTCAAGGCTGCTTGTACAGTGCCATCATTTCCTGAGGATGCTTCTTTTACCCTACTCCTCAAAGGAGTACCCGGAGGCCAATAACAGACTAAAAGCTAGAACTAAGTGACCCGACATGGCACATAGATATTCAACCAAGCAATTACACAGCATTGTTTCATGCCAATATTCTTCATATACTTTTTTTTTCTTCATATACTTTTTAACATGTTTTTGTGGTTTGGGAATTGGAGAGGTTGATTTATACCCCCTACACACAAAAGATGTATTCAAATCCTAATCCTCAGTACATGCAAATGTGAATTTGTTTAGAAAGAGAGGGGTTTTTGCAGATGAAATTAAAGTCACCTTAAGCCTAACATCATTTGCACTTTGAAAAGACAGAAAGATTTGAAACAGAAGGAAAGCTTATGGTAAAATTGACTGAAATTGAATGCTTATACCAAGGAATACCATGCCAAATGACACCACAAGCTAGGACAGAAGCATGAAGCTAATTCTCCTCCTGGAGGCTACTTAATATTATGCCTTTGGCCACCCAAACTGTAAGATAATAAGTTTCTGTTCCTCACCCCTGCCCCAGTGCTAGGATGGACCTAGAGCCTCATGAATGTTCAACACATATTCCACCACTGAGCTCCTACTCCCTCTTCATTGTTTTAAGCCACCAAATGTGTGACAATTTATTGTGGTAGGCTAGATATATAACAGGAAGAAATTAATCTTTCAAAAATCTTGTCTTTATTTTTAAATTAAAGCACTTATTTCATCTTGTAAAATACCATTTAATTGTCTTTTTTTCCACTAGATATTTTTTGATCAGCTACAAACATATACTGTTCAGTGTCAATGGTTCACGCTTGCAATCCTAGCTGCTCAGGAGGCTGATATCTGAGGAAGGCAGTTGGAAGCCCGGGCAGGCAAGAATGTTGAGATACTTTTCTCTAACTAACCACCGGAAGAGCCAGATTGGAGCTGTGGCTCAAGTGGTAGAGCACTAGCCTTAAGCAACAAAGCCCTAAATTCAAGCTCCAAGACTGGCAAAAATATAACAAAACAAACAAAAACTGACTACATCATTTTACCAAAGTTAAAGATAAATTTATTAAAGTAATAATTATGATAGTAGAATAAAAACTGAATAATAGCATCTATAACTACATAATAAAATTACTTTAAAATTCTTTTTGAAGCTCATGTAAGAAAAATGTATCTATAAGTTTTTCTAGATTTTTATTTCTCTAGATCTTTTTATAAGAGAAATTATTTCTCTAGATTGTTTTTTATTCCAACTTCTCCCTCTCTTCTCCAGTTTCTTTAGTAATCATGCAACTTAGTTTCAGCCTATGCTGAATGACTTAAAGATTCAGACAATAAAACAAATGTGGTAATGCCAATTTCTAAATTTCAGCAGAAAGCTCACTCACTGCAGGTTAGTGTCAGAAATGAGTGCTGACTTGCCTGTGCTGTCTGCTTCTGGGAAGGGAATAAACAAATTGTTTAAATAGGGATACAGGTGGACCCATTGCAACAATGAGGTGTACAAATCGTTATGTCGAAAAAATGAACTTTACAATTTGGGGGAGGGGGGGCGCCGAGGAGGAGATGGGAAGGGAGGGGAAGGGGAAACAAAGGAGGAGGCAACAATGCTTGATAAGAAATGGACTCATTATCTTGCCCATGTAATTGTAACCCCGCTGTATGGTATTTTCATCATAAAAAATAAAGAGAAATCCTGTGGTTCAGACAAATCAAAATAATAGAGAGACATCCTGGAGTGATAAGTAAAGACAGAGAGGTCAGAGCCTTAGGGCCTCAAGGACTGTGATTCAGACCTGCTGTGTTCCCACGCTCTTCTGCTGGGGCTGCTTTCTACAGCTGGAGCTGGAGCTGGAACTGCAGGGATCACACCTACTCCTGAGCACTGTCCCCAGGCCTTGTACTAAATGACACTGTCATCAGATATATCGTAAGGGGACATTAACCCTGGAGCTTCCCAAGTAACAAAAATGCTAGCTCTTGTAAGCCACCTTGTCTTCTTCATCAGAATTGCCAGACACTGGTCCTAGGAATATGTTTTCCTAAAATGTCTCCTAATTTCTTCTCAACTGAAATTTCTCTCCTCGAGTCTGAGGTCTAGCAGTTAAGAACCAATGTTGGGGGGCAGTGGCTCTCAGAATGTGGCTTTGTGTTCAGTATCACTGTCACTTGAGAGTTTGAAAGAAAGGCAGATTCTTGGGCTCCATATACTGGGCTTAGGAGACGCTCTGGGACAGGGCATCCACGTTGCAACAAGTTCTCCAACTGATTCGGACCCTTGAAATCATTTTATAGCCATCCCCAAAGCTCAGACTCACTGGCAAAGAACACAGAGTACAGAAAAGGAAGAGCGATAACTCAAGAAACCTGGAGGATATCATCTTAGCCCCATGATGAAGTTTGACATCACTGTTAATTCCTGCTGCTAGCATGTCTCTCTGCTATGACCAGTGAGAAGTATTTCACCTCTCTGGTCTTCTTCCTAAACACCAATAACCAACACTGAATCACGATGTACTATCAGCCATATGAAGACAGAACTGAGAAAACTTCTACAAAATCCTCTTCAAAATGTCAAGATTGTGAGCGATCAAGAAAACTGGAGGAACTTCACAGGTTGGAGGAAAGTATTTGAGGTGAAGTGAGAACAACTCCCCCCACGCCTCCCCCCAAATCAAACAGACAGATAGAGAATATAGTCCAGCAGAGACCATGCCCTTGATGTGACTGGAGTATGTAGACCACACAGGGGACAGGCTCCTTTCCCCTTGGGGTGACACATGGACAGCAATGCAATCACATGTCAGAACTGCCCAAAAGGGATATAAAAAGGGACCCCATGAACATTAATAAGCCACTGATTTCTAGTGCCCCTTCATCCTCTTTTAAAAAATGTTTTATTGTTATTATAATGGTAATGTACAGGGGAGTTACCGTTACCTAAGTCAGGTAAAGAGTCCATTTTGTTTTTGTGACCTTTCCCTTGCTCTCTCCCAGTTTTTCCCTCCCCTCCCTTCCCCACCCTGAAGTTGTATAGATCATTTTCAGCCTAGTGTCCAGGGAGTACCACTGCTGCATTTGTTCACCCTTTATCGCTCCATTTCTGTGACCTATTTCCTCTCTTGAACCTAGAAGTTTGTACTGTCCTTCTCTACCTCCTCCTTGCCTGGAAAACTGGTGGACAGGATCTCATCTGGCAGAAGGCAGAACTTCAGCTTAGTTGGGGGCTTTTAGCAGTGGACCAGTAGTCAAGAGGACACCCTCATCTTCCCTGGTGCCTTATGATCATTTTTAAATCAACATTTCCTGCTTCAGAATTCTTTATTTGGTGAAAAAAAGAGAAAGCACCCAAGATCCCTAGATGGTATCTGGAAGCAAGATGGTGTTATAAAACGGCCACTTATACATAATCAGAATTAGTGATTCTTTTTAGGACACATGATAAAAAAATATCAGT